TCGATTTCCTACCAAGTCGTCTCCTTCGTCTTCTTCTGTGTGTTCTTGCTTGTAATTTCTGTGTTGCTTCACCATTTGCAACATCTCCACGTTTCTTATGACCTAATCTAACATCCACACATCCTTTTGCCTTCGATCCACATACTCCCATCTCTCTCTCTCTCACACATACACCAAGAACACACACAGTCGGAAAAGCAGAAGAATCAACAKAAATCAACGAAGATGGTGATCGACTGATCAACACAAATCTGTTTTATACACAATTATTGTTATCGATCCACTTCTTAACCCCCTATTTGTGAAATATAGAGATGATCGTAGTCGTATAGATGAATTTGGATGGATTCCAACTAGTCTCTACCTACCTACCCATTTTTACATACGTCTTTGGATTCAACACGATATATATATATATACCTTCACATCAAAAAATCGAAAAGAAAAAAACAAACAAGAACAGGTCAAGATAAAATCGTCCAACGTGTGATTGCTCCAATTACTACTATCGATTGGAGATAGAGCAAAAACCATTAGGGTCTAGAGTGAACCTTGAATCGAGAATAGAACTTGAATCGAGAATAAAAACCCGAACCTTTAAGGTGTCCTGAAAGCTAATGAATCGATAAAAACAGAAACCATTAGGGTAGACAGTAGCAGTAGATGATACCTTGAATCGAGAAGGGATACCTTGAATCGAGAACGAACCTGTATCGATTAATATGTAAACCAGGAGATCAATTTAGGAGGGAAAGTGAACTCTGAATCGTCATGTTGAGAAGAAAAACAATTGATTATCATGGGAAGAGAAGCTTTGGCGAAGTAAACCAAGAGGATGAGTCATATTGATAACTTGATTTCTAAAAGAATTAAGAAGTTGTACATGTGCTTGTGATATTGTAATCAAGACTTTAAGACTATTTGCATCAAAAGATAGTACCTTAAGCGTTTAAGGTTGTTTTTAAAACTTTTCTCAAATCTGGTTGATAAGGTAGTATACATGATCATTGGGTACTGGCGAAACAACAAAACCTATGATGTGTTGAAAAGGATTTAATGGCAAAAATGTTGCAAGTTGTAACTCATTATAAGGAACCTATTTGACTTGTATTATCAGTCTTCATTTTTCCCCTTCTAGTTCTCGATCACTGTTTGATGAAATGCCTCAAAGAGATGCTATGGCTTAGAAGTAAATGATTTTCATGGTAATTGATTGTTCCAAGAAGAGTTAATCAAACCAAATGGGTACATCCATCTTTGTATTACTGTTCAATCGTGAGTCGGGATCCGGATAATGTGGTGGCGGTTGGGTTAACGAGTGTGCTGGCATGGGCGAGTTTGCTAGTGTTGTGGCAGCTGTTTGTCGTAACGATGGCGACCTTGATTGCTGGGATTAAATACAACTTCATAGGTGTTCTTCTCATCTTCATAGTCGTTACTCTTCTAATTTCGAAGTTTTGTTTCACGGGCATTGATATATGAGTCCTGTAAACGAAAAATCTAAGAAAAATGACAAAACCGAGGAATATACTAATAATCGTTCGGTATGTACATGTGCATGAAGATGTTTTCTGGTTTTTATGTGCATATTGGGAAAAATATTTACAAATTATTAACGAATGGTTATTAAGGTGTTCTAAGTTTTTGTTTTTATTTTACGATTTTCCTTGTTTATATATTAACACTTATTTATATCAAAATCACATTAAATTATACAGTAAAAATAAAAAACAGATTTTGATGTTGATGTATGTGGGAAAAAAAATTAACAGGTAATTATGTATTTCACAAGTAATAAGAGCATGCATTTAGTCTATCTGTTTCGTTTTTGAAATTTATTGTTACAAGAAACACATTCATGTTTTCTAAGTGGCCGTTTACCTAAACACTTATTTACCGGTAAAATTCAACACTATCGATTACTTACCGGGTAAGATTTTATTCAGTAAAACGCATCGTATGCAACAATTTATCCCGGTAAGTGCTAACCATGGTAAGAGTCTTCGTTCTCACTTACCGGGTAAGACTCTCGATTCTTGCCTTGGCTCTTAATGGGTAAGATTATTAGCTCTTGTCATATTTATCCGGTAAAGTAAAGTGACTTGGTGAGCGCTTACACGGGTAAGCGTTTGGTAAACGACACCTAAGTGTGTATAGTTAGTTGTTACCTATAACGTTATAAATATAACAAATAAACAAATATTATCTCATTCGATTGTAGATTAAGATCTTTTTTTCGAGGTAAAAGACTCTCTCTAAAAATCAACGGATTTTTCTTTAGAGAGTCTTTTACCTCGAATTTTAAATAGGATAAAATATAACAAACTTTGTCAATAAATGTTCAAATATTCATATTTCAGCCTATATGATATTAATTATGTAGCAAATATCGACATAGATCAAAAAATTACAATAATACTTGTGTTCTAGAAAACTAAAAGCCTAATAAATCAACCAACCACATAACCAAAGAATAAATCAAAGCAGTAGGAGTGGAGAGAAGAAGCACAAATCAACAGATCCAAAAATGGACGTAGATAGAAAAGCTTTTATGGATGCTACGAGGGATAATTTAGATGATATCTATTTATAACATCCCTGCATGCAAACTAATGTTGCAAATAATTGATTCGCATGTTATCTAAAAGTCTTAAGGAAGGTACTACCTTTTCATCCTCTTAGTTTACTTCCCCAAAGCTTCTCTACCCAAGATGATCAATTGTTCCTCTTCCCAACATGACGATTCAGAGTTCAGTTTCCCTTCCAAATTGATCTCATGGTTTACATATTAATCGATGCAAGTTCATTCTCGATTCAAGGTATCCTTTCTCGATTCAAGGCATCATCTATTGCTGCTGTCTACCCTAATGCTTCTGTTTTTATCGATTCATTAGATTTGGGGATACCTTAAAGGTTCTGGTTCATTCTCGAGTCAACTTCCATTCTCGATTGAAGGTTCATTCTCGACCCTAATGGTTTTTGTTTTATCTCCAATCGATAGTAGTAGTTGGAGCAATCACACGTTGGACGATTTTATCTTGACCTGTTCTTGTTTGTTTTTTTTTTTTCGATTTTTTGATGCCAAGGTATATATATATATCGTGTTGAATCCAAAGACGTACGTAAAAGTGGGTAGGTAGGTAGAGACTTGTTGGAATCCATCCAAATTCATCTATACGACTACGRTCATCTCTATATTTCACAAATTGGGGGTTAAGAACTGGATCGATAACGATAATTGTGTATTGAACAGATTTGTTTTGATCAATCGATCACCATCTTCGTTGATTTCTGTCGATTCTGCTGCTTTTCCGACTGTGTGTGTTCTTGGGGG